AGCAGAGCCCTGGAGAGGGGAAGGCAGAGAGAACAGCGTGAATTTTCTAGCCACAACATTCCTGGTTGTTCCATGGTGTTGACAGTGAAAGCTTTTATTCCTCTCCAAGTTGTGTAGTCCCTGGAATGCTGTTCTTGCCATATGCAGCCCATTGGTGTTTTTTTTTCCAAAAGCTTCTTTTGCAGCTATGAATTCTATGGACTCAGATTGCTTAACTACAATCAGAGAATTTTCCAGGTGGGAGATCTTGTTCTGGAAAAGAGAGATGGAAACACAAGCCATCGAAGTAAAAAGCCACCACCTCGATGCAGGTTGGGAAGAGAAAAAAAATGACCTGGAACAGCAAACTCAGTGGCTGGAGGTCCTTGTGGGTCAGTAAAACAACAAGGCAAAAATGTCTTGGATGCTGGGATGGTTTACTGGCTACAGACAGACACACAAAGGGGATGGCTATGCCACAAATTTATCTTTTATAGGAACTGTCAGGACTGGGGAGGTGCTCCAGCAGGATTTTCTCAGTGGAGAACAACATGGTGTTCACTTGACAAAATAACTTGCTCAGCTGATCTCGCCCGGTCGCTGTTTTCAGCCGAGCCAAATCCTTGGGATTTATGGCGTTCATTACTTTTCTTAAGAACTCGAGAACATTTGTATTGAGTTGCAAGCTGTTCCTCTAAATCTGGGAGAACCATATTTCAACAGCCCTTGCACAGTGAGAGTCAAAATTCCCTCTGTCTGAAACCAGAGAGGATGTGGACTCGAAAGCGGAGGATAATCATGTTTGGTGATTTTCTGAAAAGACAAATGTGCAGACCTTGCTCTTCACTGAAACAATTGATACATCACTGGGTTCTTCTTTAGGAAAAATCATTTCAGAAGATTCCAAGCTCCAGTTAAATGTTCTCTTACGACAGAGGCCGGAGGGATCTGAAATTTAAGCGAATTGCCAATTTTGGTTGGTTTGTTCCTGGGTTGGGGACATTGCTCAGCGTCCCCCAGGCCAGCTGAGGGAGGAAGGGGCACATCTGGACTCACAGAGGTTTTGTAGGAGTGGAGCTGTGCTCACTTAGACTTCAGGAGTGCTGAGAAGCAAAGGAGGAGTCCCTGCAACTAGGGAGGACACAAACAACAAGTGATTAATCATTCTTTGTATGTTAGTTTGGTTTTTTGCTTGCATTTTGGTTTTTATTTTTGGTGGATTCTTTTTCTGTTGATTAGGGTTTGTTTTTAATTGGGATGGCATTGTAATATTTTGTCTTTTACTTGCCCTTTTCACAGCACTTCCAGAAAATTCCTTCACCTGAATGAAGCTGACCTGTGCAATATTATTATTGTTATTATTATTATGGTTGTTATTGTTATTCTTCTTATTATTATTATTACCACCTTCATTTAGAAGGAGGAGACTTTATTCTGGGATTAAATTATCTCCCTAAGAAGGGGTTCTTTTTACCTTTGAAGGGGTTATTTTTACCTTTTTGGAACCCTCATCTGTCTTCAGATTTATTGCAGCAGATCTTTCCTATCTCCATTTAGAGATGTTGCAGAACAGATCCATAACCTTTTTAAAGAGGTTTTTTCTTTTAAACAGCATTATAGCACACAACTGTTGATACAGGAAAGGATTTAGGAGAGACAGGAAATTACTTTTCTCATCTTATTCACCCTGAAACATGGAGAAAATTTGATAACAACTAAAAGATCCTAATTATACCTTTTGGTCACTGTCCTAGTATTCCCTGGCACACATTATCCTACATAAATATTATAGACAGGCAGAAATTAAGATACTAAAAAAGCCACAACACCCTGGTTAAGGCAACTATCTTTTGATTCTTATCTGACACAAACACAAATTTAACTTCATGCCCTTCAAGACAAGATTTTTTTTTAAAGGAACTTGAATAACTTTTTGTGGTCCCTTCATTTACTTCTGAGTTTCTTTTGCAGTTTCTTTATGCTCCCTGTTCTGATAAGCATGGGTTGGTTGGTTTGGAAAGCTCAGGTTTGGATATTTCTCTTCTGGGCATCAAACCCAACTTTTCTCTCTCTGAGAATGGTCAGTGCCCGACACAATTTCAGTGTAGTCTGTGAAATTCCAAGTCCCCTGCTTTTTACACCCCTTTATATAATTGTGTCACTATTTGTCTCTTCTTTTTTTACTGATTCACCACGTGACACATGAGCTATGTGTGGCAACTTCAGCTTTCCGCTGACACCAGAGATGATTGATGGTCAAACTCCAAACCTCATATATTACCCACCAACCTGAATAAACAAAGACCAGTGTGGCAGCTTAATATTAAAAGCTATAAAACCTTCCTGGGGGTTCAAGGATTAAATCAGCTCACCAAAATGAAATTTTCAAAAAAAAAAAGAAGAAAGCTTTCTCAGGACCGAAGAAAAACGAACACAAGTAAATGAAATAGAGCCATCCTCATCCAGCCGACTAAAGGCCTCCTGAGGGATGAAGAATTGCAATTTTAAACATCCCTCAAGAGTGCAAGAGGAGACACAGTATTTGTGGATCCTAGGGAGGCAGCTTGAGGCTATAAAAGAACAAAAAAGCCTTTAAGGCACAAATAAACCTATCCCTGCAGACAGAGCTTTCATTGGTGAAAAATAAGTGTTAAAAAATGAAAACCTTCTGCCATTAAAATGAGTACCCATTAGCCCACTGGATGTTATTTTTCAGTTGTAAGAAGTGATTTAGATTTTTGCCATGCACTATTTTAATCTCTTGGGTCAATAAACCTTGATAGTGACTTCAGCCAAAAATACCAGCAGGTTGTTTACCATACCACGGCAGGAAACAGCTGGGCATTTATTTTCATCTTATTGTGATGCAATTACCAGTGAGCAGAGCTGAGAGTAGCGTGTTTTGTCTGCTCCAACAAATTGGAATTGTATCCAAAAGAACAGGTTTCACTGCAAAAAAAAGTGTATGTCTTGTCTCTGAAACTGAATAAGGGATCAGGCCCAAGCCAAACTGCAGCTACCAGGGCTTGTTTCTCATTTTCTCTTTCCATTCTCAGCTGACCCTCTAAGATATCTCCATATTTTAACCACAATACAATATTTCTTCCTGGCTTTCCAAGAAACACCTTTGTCAAAAGTGAATTATCCTCTGCTGCTCTGCAAAGTTAATGACAAATGTTCCCAGCATTGTGAAAGCATTTATTTAGAGGACAACTGCAGATTAAACTGTTAAAACCAGTGACCTGGTTGCAAGAAAACTCTTGCACAATTAGAAAATTATTGTTTCCCTCACAGAGTTGTATTAAAACTTCTGTTGCATCTGCATCTTAGCCAGGTGATCATCCAGATCCTCTTACCCATTAAACAGATCATTATTAATCAAAATTTAGGAAATGAAAGCATTTTGCTGCTCTGGCTGCCTGTTTCTGGTCTCGTCTCACCAAGAATAAATGGAACATGTTGAATCAACTGAAATATATGTTTCTGCTCTATCAGGGTCCCCACCCAAATGAGTTGTTGGCTCAGAAAATATTTATCCTGGCAGACCACTTATGCATAACTTTGGAAGCCTTGATAGAAATAGTAGCATGAATTTATTGGTGTAGCTCTCAAAAACATAAATTTTGATCTCTGGCTTATACACAAGCGAAGTTCAAACGAGGTTTCCTGTCTCACCTCTTTATTTTTTTTCTCCTTTCAGATTTGCATAGTGGCATCACTTCCTTGCAGTTCCCAAGGAAAGCCTCTAATTGCCCATTTGCATAGAGATTTGGCGATTCCTCCTGCCTGTCGGGGTGACTCAGAGGGAGAATTTTCCTAACGTTTCATCAGATTGTTTTATTCCTTTTGTATCGATAATTGCACTCTGCATAATGCGGGTTCTGGCGGGAGCTGCTTTTCCCATGGGATGGTGCCGGGATGAACTCGGCCTCGGGTTCTCACGTGTGGGAGCTCTGGGAGCTGAAATTTGGAACTCGTGGCTCCTTCAGGTTGGATTTGTGGTTGTAGTGGTGGATTTCAGCCATTTGGGAATGAAAAACCAACACCAAATGGTGTTGGGGGGGGGGGGGAAAAATAAAAATTCTATTTGAAAGTTTCAAGATATTTTATGGGTTAATCTGATATCGAAGCCCTTTGATCCTTTATTTACATATTCAGCTGCTAATCCAGAAAAACACCAAAGTCCTTGCTTAATTTGAATTAAGCAGTTAATCCTATTGGGAGTTAAGTACACACGTGAGGCCCTGATTCAGCCAGGTAGGAACGTGATGGGCTGACCTGAACCGAATCATCACAGGTCAAAACTCATCAAATCCAACCACTCTGCAGAGAAAAGAAGCACAACCCTTCCATCTGATCTCTCTTCATGTAACTCTGCTCTGTAAATCCTGTTTCCTCAGCATCTCTTAAATAAAGTTGCAGATGAAAACTTCCCCCTGTTGGAACCTCCTCGTTTTGGGGCCTGAGATGCTCAGATTTACTCATTGAAAGTTCTGTAGTCTCCATGAAGCTGAGGAGGACACAAAGTGCAATGAAAAATAGTTGCAGGATGAAGGATAATCATAAAAAGTCCACCAAAAGCACCTAGAAGTTGAGAAATTTTGTAAAATACGTTTTGGGAAACAGTAAGTCACCTTGTCTAAGGGAGCAATGGACAAATGTCCCCCCCCTGACCTGCTTCAGATCCCAAGAACAACCAGAAAACTTCTGTCAATTTGCAAGATGTGTCTGCCTAAGTGCTCATTTCAGATGGATTGAAGAATAATTATTGCATGTTCATTTCTGATTTTTTTTTCCTCTCCATATATATTTTTTATTCTTATGTTTTCTTTTGCCTTTATTTCTTTTACCTCTTTTGTTCTTTACAGGTATTTGCTGATCTTCTGTCTCCTTCCCTCTCCCTTTTGATACCACAATTAATTCTGTGTTTATTTGACCTCCAATTTGGGCAAAAGAAGCAAAAAATTTACAGCATCTAAGAGCAGCCATCTCTATATAAATATCTCTTTGTTCTGTTACAGTTGATTACTATACGAGAAGAATATGAAAAAATACTCAAAGGGCTGATGCCAGCATCTTCCAAAAAGGAACTTGAAGACATCATTTCATCTTTAAAATCTCAGGTAAATTCTTATGCTTCAGCATTTTGGGTTGGGTAAAAGCCCTCTCTCCTAGACAGGAGGTTATGACCATCTGAAATTTGGCCAAAAATACCAAATAAGTGTCAAAACCAAATTAAGGCAGAACCCACATTCTTCTCACTTAGTGTCATATTCCACAAAACTTTTCCCCTCCAGTTTGAGAGCTGCCATGTTGTATTTTTTGATCCCAGACTATTTTTCCAGGAAAACCTGTGCTTTATTCAGTATTAGGGGTTTTTCCTCAGCCTTTCAGATACAGCTCACAGTTATCTTTCATCTTCCTTGCACTGTTTCTCCTGAAGGAATCATTTAAAGGCTGCCTATAACAGGCAAAGAAAAGGATTAGAAATAATTTTATTTTCTTTCCAGCCTATGTAATAAAGCAAATTGGGTATTTTTTGAAGATATTTGTCTAAATGGTCATTGTGATATTTTTACATTTTCCTGTATAAAGAGGCTCTGTAATCTTTTGAGTATTGCTAACCATCAGTTCTAGATAAATGCAGAATCAGTATCATTTCTATAAACTAGACTTACTACGTTTCCTAATATCCAATGTCATTGGAAATAGGGAACTGCTGATTAATTGGGTGTGTTTCTCATCCCTGGTTCCCACAGAAGTTATTTGGGGCTTTTCTGTTCAGTGTATGGGGAGCTGGAAGAAAACAAAATGTCATCATTGCCTGAACTCCAGTGAGGAAGGATAAACAGCCATAAAGCAGGGTGATCATTGCTGTGGAATAATGGGAATCCAAGGAAAATGCCACCAGTGTTTGGAGGAGTGTGCATGCAACCAAGCTGGAAAGGACTGGGCTCTGGAACCTGGGATCTGGGGTCTGGGATTTGGGATTTGGCCTCTGGGATTTGGGATTTGGGCTCTGGAATCTGGGATTTGGGATCTGGGATTTGGGATCTGGGATTTGGGATTTGGGATTTGGGCTCTGGAATTTGGGATCTGGGATCTGGGATTTGGGCTCTGGAATCTGGGATTTGGGATCTGGGATTTGGGATCTGGGATTTGGGATTTGGGATTTGGGCTCTGGAATTTGGGATCTGGGATCTGGGATTTGGGCTCTGGAATCTGGGATTTGGGATCTGGGATTTGGGATCTGGGATTTGGGATTTGGGATTTGGGCTCTGGAATTTGGGATCTGGGATCTGGGATTTGGGCTCTGGAATCTGGGATTTGGGATCTGGGATTTGGGATCTGGGATTTGGGATTTGGGATTTGGGCTCTGGAATTTGGGATCTGGGATCTGGGATTTGGGCTCTGGAATCTGGGATTTGGGATCTGGGATTTGGGATCTGGGATTTGGGATTTGGGATTTGGGCTCTGGAATTTGGGATCTGGGATCTGGGATTTGGGCTCTGGAATCTGGGATTTGGGATCTGGGATTTGGGATCTGGGATTTGGGATTTGGGATTTGGGCTCTGGAATTTGGGATCTGGGATCTGGGATTTGGGCTCTGGAATCTGGGATTTGGGATCTGGGATTTGGGATCTGGGATTTGGGATTTGGGATTTGGGCTCTGGAATTTGGGATCTGGGATCTGGGATTTGGGCTCTGGAATCTGGGATTTGGGATCTGGGCTCTGGGATCTGTCCTGGCTGAAGGAAGAGCTGGGACAAGGACAGTGCCAAGCTGGTAGCTCAGAGTTGCCCTGAGCTCTGGGAAGAGCAGAAACCTGAGGACACGGAGTACAAGTTTAGGCCCATTATCATCACATCCTCATGCCAGTTTTCAGGACCACTTTTCAAGAAATTATTAATCTACAACATCTCATTTCTCTTTCTTATGCAACCTCTGTGGAGATGATTGGTAATTTCATGTATTTGGGTTTTTTTCCCCATTTTTTTCTCTTTGCAATGCATAAGAGTTATCCCATAGCATATTTTGCTCTGCATGAGACACTTCCCGTGGCAGAGGCCACTTTCAATGGAAGTAGGAAATTTTCACAGTGGAAACTCAACTTTTCTGTGTGCAAGGAGTGACACAGCTTCAGCACTCTGGTAGTAAACATTCTGCTTCCACCTCAAGGGATCCCTAATGGAAATGATGCTCTTCCTCATTTAAATATTTCTGGGAAATAAAGAGTCAAGGGTCTGTTGGGGAGATCTATTTCCATTTGATAGTAAAAAGCTATTTTTAAAGACTCCTAAAAGGACTCTGAACACCGCCTGGTAGGAAGCATCACTCTGAGCTAATACAAGAATTACCACACCTTTAAATGAGTTTTAAAAATTAAAAAATAGAACCTGATATCCACCTGCAGAGCTTCTGTAAGCAGCAGCAGCATTTCAAAGGAGTAAAAGTAACTCCACACATGAAAACCTGGGTGCTCTCCCAGAAATCCATCGCTGCTGGCTGCGACTCCACGCGCAGCTCGGGGAGCTGGGCTCTCTCTGAAGCACAGGTGTCCTGCTCTTTGAAAATTGTTGAAATTCCTGTTTGAAAACATCAGACAAGAAGGGCACTGGAATCCCTGCACCTGTCAGGATTATTTATTGTTGGAGGAGGATGAAGAGGATAGGCTGGGTAGAAGCACCGTGCGGGGATAAAAATAAACAGCAGGAAAAGAAAATACTTGAGGCTCGGGTGAAGTTTTCTAAACATGTTGCTAAATATAAAGGATTTGCTGCCTGGTTGTGTGCTCCTGGTGAGATGGCCAACAGGGGATGCAGTGTGTTACTAAGCATTAATTCTCATACACTTGGGGAACAGGTGAGTACCTTCATCACAAGAGCAAAAGTGCAGGGATCAGAGCACAGGAATCCCATGGGAGCTGCCAGGAGAACGGGAGCTCCCAAGCACTTGCACAACCCAGATGGTGCCACCAGCTGGGTTTAACAACTGGTTTAACTGTTCCTGAAGGAGTAGAGAGTGCACAGCTAGAGCACAGCCAGAGAAGCCAAGAGAAGTCTTCTATAAAATATTAGTTCTTCTATGCAGCTAAAGTATTACTGCATTTTATTTAGACAGGTGAGATCAGAAAAATTCCTTTTATGAAATGAGCACAAATATATTAATTGGAATTTTGTACCCTGTTTTCATGTGGGATGTATTTTACAGGTAAGTTTTCTGCAGAAAAGAGTCCTCCAGGAAGACCTGAACGCCTACCACGCCAAAAAGTACGGGATTATCTTTGATCCATTTGTACCATTTCACCCCTGTGGGTCCCGGTTCTTGAAGTTTTATGGCTTAATTCAAACCCTCCAACATGGGTGCAGTTTTAAAAGCTCCTTATTTTCAGTAAACAGGCATCAGAGAAGGTTTCCCCAGTGCTCAGGCAGTAGTGCTAGAGCGAGATTAGAGAAGCTGCAGGTGCTTTGCAAGTCTGGGCTTTGCCTGCACGTCGAGGATGAGGCGGCTCCTGCACAGCTGCGGCTCTGCAGTGATGCCACCTCCTTTAAAGATAGAAAACAATGATGCAAGGCAGAATATTACAGATCCCATCTTCAAAGGACCGGATCTCCATGAGCCTGAGCTTTTTCTTTTTTTTTTTTGAAACATTTACACCCTCCAATATAAATTATGGCAAGTGCTGCAGCCATAAAAAGCCTGGCCGTGCCTTTAGAGTAAGTGATTCACATGGAGAGGTGAGTACAGGGAAACTTCCTGGGAAAGCCACTCCATCTTTACTGTATTTTTAGACATTGATGGTGTTTCATATCTCACATGAAGGGTTTCTGCAGCTAAGAATGTGTGCTCATAAAAATAGTGTCAGCATTTGTGAGATATTTAAGCGACTGTGAGAAGGTTAACGGTGTGAGAGTCGTGTGAAAATATTAATCCTAAATTATTTGTTAACAGGAATTAGCTAAAGCTAACTGGAAACTGAAAATGTCATAGATTTTGGTAATAAATCCAGCATAGGTAACTTTGTTAGATAAATAGAAAGCTCCAGAACTGCTGCCCACTGGACCCAGCTCTGCTTTCAGCATGTTGTGTTTCTATAAAAAAAATAATGAGGTATAACTGACAGAAATCTCTTCCTTTTCAGGTAACCATTGATGGATTGTGGGATCTCTGTGATTGCCAAATGGACTGCTTTGAATAGGTTTGAAGATTTGGCTCTTGTAAATTTTAATGCAAAGATTAGTGGTTCTTTTGTTAGCACAAAAAAATGAACTTCATGAAAACATATTCATAGCTCATGCCAGCCTGGATTTTGTTGTATCTTCCTTCCATTATTTTTTTTATCATTATTTTATTACAGATTTATGCTTTTGATACACGGTTTGACACCATGCTGAGCTCGCTTACCGAGCAAGTAGACTTTGCTCTACTAATATTTTTGTTACTCCTTTCCAATACCATCTTTTTCACTTTTAAACATGAAGAAAATCCCATTTTCTATTATTATTGCCCAAGATATTTCAACATATTTTAACATTGTTCTGTGTCCATGTGTTTACATAATATTAAAATATTCTTATTTTCTTATCTTTTTGTTTTGACATTATTGTCCTGCTTGAGCATCTCACTCACCTCAGTAGCCAGGGGAGTTTTGTGTGGTTTTGTAAAGTGGGAATGTGTGTGGTGTTTCAAGGGATGAGAGCAGCTTGGTGGCACTACAGGCAGCTCTGGCTGTCGGTGGGGTTGGATACTCTGGGAAAAGGGAATGAATTCCTTGCTCATGGGCTGATAACACAGCCATGGGTGTTGCTGGAAAGGAGTCACGAGTGACACGGCCTCGGTGCCGCGAGGGCACGCGCCGGCTCTCCGTGCCGATCCCGGGGAGTCGGAGCGGATTCCAGAGGGTTTTCTGGGATGGGGTTTGAGGGGCAATGGGAAGCTGAAGGAGCTGGTCAGGCCTCAGGCTGGCCCTGACTCCCGGCCATGGAGCAGTGCTGCTGTCTCCAGCCCTTGGAGCCTTTGGAACGTGTGCATTTGGCACGAGAGTGGCTTTGGTTTTCCTGGGCACCCTTCTGCTGGTGGTGTTGGGATCAAGGCAAAGTGCTTGAGAAGGGACCAGGAATTCCTGTTCCAAGTGCAGCTGTGGCCCTGGCAGCACCAGGGAGGCCCTGCTGGTGGGGATGGCCACCTCTCCCACCTCACCAGTGTCACCAGTACTCCCACGCCGCAGCCCGGGCGCAGTTTGGAGGGTCCCGCTCCCTTGAGTGCCGTGGTGGAGGCGGCTGTGCTGCCAAGTCCCAGCTCACCAGCTGGGCTCTTATCTGCTCCTGGCACCGAGATCAAGGAGGAGAGGCTTTGGCAGGCTGGCTCCATCCACCCCTCCTCCTGGCAGCTGTGCCAAACCCAGCTCCGGCTCTGGCTGCTGCGCTGCTTGTCAGCCCAGTCAGGGCCTGGGCAGGTTTTGCACCTTCCTTGAATCAACAAGTGATTCTTCTAATTACAGATAAGGCTTCTCTGATAAAGGAGGAGGTGCTGTGGCAGGTGCCACAAAGCCTTGCCTGGGGGAATTGGGAGATGCAGGAGCAGGAATTGTTGGGATGCATTGAGCTAATTGTGGGCAGTAAAATGTTTTTCTCCTGAAAGGTGCAGGGCAGCGGTGGCTGGGCTCTGCAGGAGGAGCAGGCTGTGGGCACTGGGATGTACCCACTGCACATGGCCCCGTGTCCAAATGGCAGAGATGGGGACAGTGGCAACTCTGATGCTTGAGGGAAATGAGGCATCTTTGATTCTGCTTCTCTGCTGGTGTTTTTGCATTAAATCCGTGTGGGTTTAGTGCTTTTGACATCAGGAAACATCCATAAAGAAACACATGGACACTCTTCTCACCACTTGAATTCCTGAATTTCCTTCTTTTTGGTGGAATTGGGTTTCTGATGTTGCTGATGGTCATAAAGCAGTTTGAGAAAGATAGATGTTGGTCAATCAGGGGGTTTCAAAACCCATGTGAAACTCTCCAGCAGCAGCTACATCTTGAGGACCACTTTGAAGCTGCTTATGAACCTTGTAAGAATTTAAATATAAGTTTAGGTGGAATTCTCTTGTAGTTGTTAACTGAACATTTTTGTAACAAGTAATAATTACAGTCTAAGCTGAAGGATTATAAAGATTTCCACAGTTATTTCTTGTTTTCTGCCTCTCTCACCCCGATTGGTAAGGAATTGCCAGCTGCCAGGAGTTGGCTTTGTTGTCCCTAACCAAGCTCTGGCCAAACCAGCTTCAGTGTGGTTCAGTTGTTTGTATTTTATATTTATTTAATTCACCGAGTTTGCTCCGTGAGAGAAGATTGTTTCATCCCCTGTAAACCCCCCCCCCCAAAAAAGTCACCATAACATTTTTCACCAGTACCAAGGGAGGTGACCCTTATCAAGGTGACACTTTATTTCAGTGCCACTCACAGTTCTTGTGTTACATGGAACAAAAATGCTCCTTTTTGGCCCAGCTGGGAGAAAAGGGATACAAGGTCCCTCCTTCTGCTTGCATCTGCAACAGAGCTTTAATTGTGCTGGGGACAGCAGGCACTCCTGGTGCTCACCCAAATCTCTCCTGACTGTGGTGGTTTCAAACTGAGAAATGATTTTGCTGCACAGAAAAAAAATATTTTATAGTGATTAGAAGAAAATATTTATTGAATTTTCTGGAAAACGTGCACAGCTTTGATCCTGATGCAGAGAGGTCTTGATAGAGAATCTCTGTAGGATCTGATTTTTATTTTTCTTTTTTAAATTCTCTTACTGCACTGCAAGTCCTCCCCAAATCACAGAATGGACTGGAGGCACCACACTGCTAAATTATCCTTGGTCCCCTCTGGAGGGTACAAAGGAAAAGTAAGACGTCAGATACTGTATGAAGAAGTTTCAGAACACAAGGTCATTTTAATTCAGCCTTTTTTTTTTCCCAAGGAGCTATCTTTTCCAAGCTTTGATATTTTCTTCAGAAAGGTCATTTCCTTTAAGCCTTTGTCATTAAAGACTTGTTCTTTAAAGTGTGCTATCAAAGCAGGCAGAAATTGCAAGTTACTGAAACTAAAATGCATGATCAATTTTAAGTCTGCCTACTAAAGCCCTCTTAAAATTAGATGTGCTCTGGTACTGGTGGTTTCTTTGATAAAGCCAAGGGATGATATGCAGTTGGTCAATTCAAGCTACAAAAAAAAAAAAAAGATAATTAAATAAAACTTTTATTCCCTAAATTGGAAAAAAAAATTGTGAAAAAAAGCATTGAAAGAACTGAATGAGGGTCTGATCCTGTAAAAACGTGTCTTGTGTGAGAGGAAGAGGGAGTGTGCTGCATGTGGGAGCAGTTTGTAGCACTTTTACACAGCGGTTGAGCAGCTCTGTGCTGTTATCTGCATTATGCATAATGTAAATAAGGCAAACCCCTGGATAAAATATCATTTATTTACCATTTGCTGCCACAGTTGGTCTCTCCTTCACTGACAGAGAAGCAGGGAACAAAAAGAGTGTCGTGCCCTTGTTCTGCCATCCCTAATCCCAATCTCTTTTCATCCCTTTATGAACTGTGGGATAGTTCATGCCATGAATTTATGGCTACGGGTCATAAGAGCTTTGCTTCCTTTCAGGCATCCTTGGGAGAAGAGATGTTTTCTTTCCTAATCCATCTTCTAATGGGAAACCTTAACTTTCAACCCAGATATGTCCAACATTCAGGGCAGTATTTCCAGCAGACTCTTGGGAAGGTGGACACAGAGCTCACCTTCACACAAGGAGGATTTACAGCTGACACCTTTGAGCAGCTCTCTAAAACAATTTTATCTGCAGAGCTGGGTCCCAAAAGCCTGTTTGTTTCAAATGCTCCATGGACATACAGCTTAGTGGGAATGGAGATGAGCTTTAAATATGGCAACACATGATTCAGCCTCAGTACTGGGGGCTGAAAACAAGGAAATGTGTGTTGGTAGAATGAGCAAAGTAAAGGAACACCTTTATCTCAGCTGGGCAGCGATGTTGTAACAATACTTCCACCTTTATAAAATCTATTCAAGATTTATACTTTAGGAATCTTGTTCTTCTCCCATTGAAACCTCATATAAAAGTTTAATACCAGGCAGAGCTGACCATCTTTTCAAAATAAGGTTGTGAGTCCTAATTCTCTTACACTGAAGTTAACTTTGCCAGTTTTACCCAAAGAAAGGATTCAAGGAATTCATTAGAACTCTAACCCTGGAATCCATAGGAAACCTGTTGTGGAAGTGATCCTGGGCTGAAATTAAGGATGTAAGACCACCCCTGGCTGTTTACTGGGAAGTGCTGGAGAGTGCAGGACTCGTTCACTGAGGTTTAGATGGCACTGAAGATGTGGCAGTGAGTCGCAGGACCACAGCTGAGCAATCTTCTCCCAGAGCAAGAGTTTTTAGAAAGGGATTTCTCAGTCTGACTGATTCCTTTAATTCAGAGCCCATCTAAATCTCTCACCTAAATTTTACAGAGTCAGTTTTTGTACAGTCAGACTGTCACTGAGCATCTGAGGGTGGTGGAAAAACAGACCTAAGAAGGCAGATCATTCAGGCTGGAGAAGAATTTTAAGATCATCTGAGTCCAACCGTATCTCCACCATCTTCCTGCCTGAAAAATCCTTCAGCACCCTGTGAGCTGCCTGGACAGCCCTTGGTGGCAGCTTTGCTGTTGGGTGACTGTGGAAAGGCTGGTGCAAACATCTGCTCCACAAAGGGTGACTGGAGTTCTTATCCCTGGTAAGTTGGTGGGGTAGAAGCAGCTTTCTGTGTGGAGTGGGCTTGTTCTTTGGTTTTTCATTGGGGTGTACTGGTGGAATCAGCATATTTAACCTCTCTGGTGGCTCCAGTAAGGGCTGTAAATGATTTCCTTTCACATGTTTCTAGTGGGGGCCGATCCTTTCTTTCCAGGCAATGCAAACCCGTATTTTAGGATGGATGCAGGAGCTTTGCTCTCAGGAGCTGTTGTGACTGTGCTCAGCTGGCCTGTGATGCTGAGCCTGGTGCAGGACTTGGTGTGGTGTCACCTCAGGGTGTCAGCACCTGGAGGCAGGTGAGCACCTCAGGGAGCCCTCCCCAGTCACTGCACTTTTATCCTCACAGAGGAACAGCAGGGCTTTGCTGGGCTGGAGCTTTGTGATGTGAACGTGCTTTTCTGGTGCCACTTTGGAAAACAAATGCTGTTGTGGTGATCCTGTAGGAGAATGGGATGGGAAGTGCTTGGTGGTCCCTCTGTGTTGGCAGAAGATGCTGGGTTTGACCCATGGGGTTGTTTCCAGGAGCGTGATCAGTGCAAGGTACAGGGCTGTGAGCAAGAGAGTGAGAAATGCCAAGTGTAAACTAAAATAATATTTTTTAATTTGTGCAACTCCCAGAAGCTTTCTCACTGATGTGAGAAAATCTCTCTGGATCTTTCTTTTTCTTTGTTTTCATATAACAGCCATTTTCAAGTAAATGTACATATACCCATATGAGTGCAAAGCTGTGAAATAGCTGCATGGATGCT